TGCACAAACATATCTTCTTTTGGCAATTTTAAAATATTATCATTGAATAATGATAGAGTATTGCAAAAGTTGCTACATGCCTTTACAATTTCATCCAGTTTACAGTCAAAAAGAGCATGCATTTCATCACCAACAGACTGATCAGAACACAGTGTGCAAAATCTTTGCTCTGAGGGTATTTTTTGGTATCTTAATTTTTCAATTGGTAATTTATGTGCTGAAATTCTAAATTTGGTTACACTTATTATTTTTTTTTCAGGTTTGGTTTAAATTCATAATCTGATTTGTATTTATTGTAAATGTGTAGTTTATTATTTTCCTTATAAAAAATCAGCTGAAGACTATTTCAAATGAAATGTTAAAACCATCTTAGTACCACTACACAAATCAGGTGACAGATCGAACCCAGCCAATTACAGAACAATTGCTATATCCAGCTGTTTATCAAATTTATTCATAGGCATTATGAATCTCAGATTGACAAACCACTTGGAGTAAAACAAATTAATGAATGAGGTACAAATCGGATTTTGAAAAAACAGACACACAAGTGATGCAATCTTTCCTTTAAAGACAGCAGTGGAAAAAACACTGTATGGAAAAAAAGAAACTTGTGCTAAGTGTAAAAGAGTATACAGCTGTTTCGTAGACTTAAGAAAAGCATTTGACAGTGACTCAAGAGATGCTTTTTCTCTAAAACTACAAAAAACTGGCATAAATGGCAACACTTGACACTGATCAAGAATATAAAGTAAAGCTAAATAGTGGTATCACGAAGGGATTTCATCCAACAAGTGGAATCAAACAAGGGTGCAACATCTCACCAACGCTTTTTAACATTTTCATGAATGACCTCCCTCGTATATTCGGTGGGAATGTAGATAAACCAATCATGATTGACACTTTTCCCCTAAATTGCATTCAGTATGCGGATGAGCTGGCAAATATTTCAGAGTCCACGGACGATCTACAAAACTGTCTGAACAAACTAAATGATTATTGTACAAAATGGTACATGTACCTAAATGTTAATGTTAGAAAAACTAAAGTGATGATATTTAACAACAGTAATTGTTTAATAAAAAATATGAATTTCAAAATAAATAATCAAGAGATAACATCTGTTAAGGAGTTTTGTTATTTAGGAACCATTTTCACACCAAATGGTAAATTTAAAATAAATCAGTCAAACCAAAAAAATAAAGCTAGGAAAGCTTTATTTAGTATACGTCACACTATACTAAATCATAAAATGATCTCTACAAAACTAACCCTTAAACTTTTTGATCAACTCATCTCTCCAATTTTGTTATATGGGTCAGAGATTTGGGCCAATGAAATTACAAATGAAAACAATTACTTGGAGCAAGCATGCAACCACTTTTACAGGTTTATTTTAGTGTTAGTAAAGTAACACCATTGATTGGTATAAGAGGCGAAATTGGTAGAATTCCTATAAAGATTAAGCAACTTTATCGCTAATTAAATATTGGCACAGATTGTCTTTGCTACCTGAAAATCATATTCTAAAAGTGCACTTAAAGAAACAGTGTCTTCAAACTCAAGCT